GAGAGAGAGAGAGAGAGAGAGAGAGAGAGAGAGAGAGAGAGAGATCTATGCACAAGAGTAAGTCCTCCATTCATTTCCATAAATTTAAAAAAGCATATAGTGGTCGGGCATGGTGATGCACGCTTTTAGTCCCAGCACTCAGGAGGCAGAGGCAGGCAGATCTCTGTAAGTTCGAGGCCAGCCTGGTCTCCATAGTGAGTTCCAGGCCGGCTGCGGCTGCAGGGAGACCTTGTCACAAAAAAAAAAAAAAAAAAAAAAAGTATATAGTATTTGGGTTCAAAAGTCAACACTGTCTAAACAACATCTATCAACAAACAGTACAGTGAACATCTCTTAAATGCCCTTTGAGGACTGGGGATGTGACTCAGTAGAATGTTTGCTGAATGTGTGTGACGTCCTGGTTCAAGTCTTAGCACCATGAAAAAGAGAAAGAGAGGGAGAGGGGAGAGAGAAGAGAGAGGAGATAAGATAGAAAAGAGAGTGTGAGGGAGAAAGGAAGGGGGAGAGAGGAGAGGAGAGACACACAGTACATTTTGCATTTTCTTTGCACAATAGTTGTAAGTCTATCAAGAGAGACTTGGGTAAATTTCCAAAGAGGTTGAAATGAAAATTTGCATTCACTGCAAATGGAAGAAATCTGCACCCAGCAGTGAACTAGAAAAATACATGAGAAACTCCTGTCAAGACCTAGCTCAGGATTAAGCATCAAGATGAACATTTTTCCGAAATTCATTAGCTTCTACTCACCAAGGCATGAAAAGATGACACAGAAAAGATTCCAAGGCGGCCCATTGCCACTTTTGTGGGTCGGCTTGCAAAAGCCAGTAGTCTTTTGGGGTTTGGCAGCTCCCCGCCCTGAAGGCTGGCTAAGTAACAGCGGAAACGAAACAGGTCCATTTGGAACTGTTCAAGATTTTGCTCCCAAACAAAGATCTGTAGTCGTGAAAACACAAGGAGAGAAAAGGTCAAAAAACAAATGTCAACAACTGTATTCTATAGAAATCTTGCAAATCTATTTGTTATAAAGATATTAATTATAATACTAAAGGGTGAACAACAGGTATTCTAGGGTTCATGTGTCCTCTTCTGCAAAGACCTAAAACTGTAAATTCAGTATCATATACAGAAAGTACATTGCTAGCTGTGCATGCTCTCCTAGCACAGATTTTATGAGAACTAGGGGAGGGGCACCCATGACAGGTAGGCCAATTCTGACCACAAACCCAAGACAGAAAGACTAAAAGTGTGGGGTCTCCAGTACATTAATACTACATGGGTCACTGAGAGAAGGTTCTACTAAGAACAAGGAAAGAAGAAATGTAAAGCCATGAAAAGACCAGAGGCAGATAAACGAAAAGCATTGGTAGGAGAGGGTGGTAGAGAGGAAATGCAATAGGAAACAGATGGGACCTAGACATGGAAATCCAGGGTTCCAACAACAGCAAGCACCCGTCTGTGTCCTGCTTATCCAAAGAGCTAAATATGACCTGACTACTGATGTAATATTCAAATATCATGGAAGAATAAGGGTCTGGCACACAGTGAAAGCTCAGAGGTCAACAATGACATCTACCTCTCAAAATCAGTATATACACAATATACATGTTCATGACAGAATTATTCATAACAGCCAAAAGATCAGAAAAGGCTCATATCCATCAATCGATGAATGGATAAGCAAACTTCTGTGTGTATGTACAATGGAATCATAAACAGTGGGAAAAAAAGAATTTGGCTAATGTATACACTACCCTAGCTGAAAGAAGTCAGGCTCAGAGGGTCACATATTATGCAATTTCATTCCTATGGCGCATCTCAAAGGGACAATTTCTTCATGACAGAATTTCATGGAAAGGGAGGGAAAAATGCTTAACAGGATGTGGGGTTCCTTTTGGAATTATATAAAGGAAGTGGTTACCCAATATTGCAAATATATTGATTTCTACTGGACTGTTCACTTTAAATGGTCTTGTGTTATGTGAATCTTGCCTTAATTAAAAACCTACAGAGACCGATAATATGGAGAAAAGAGAGAGCATGTGTGGAGGGCCCCTGGCTGGTTCAGACCATCAGCTGCACTTAAATGACATGTATCTACGCCATTACTTTCTAAGCATTGGGGCAAAGTTTCAAAGGACTATCAGGGGGCTATCACTGTGAAAAAGTGGAATACACAGCAAAAATACCTTTCCCTTAATTCACTAAAGTTTCCCTTTTAGCATGAAATGTACACACATGTAGCAATTACGTGCCGCTGGCTCTTTAGGACTGGATTCTGCAACCCTGGATTCAACCACCCATGGATTAAAAATATTTTTTAAAAACCCTGCATCTACAGTGAACATGTAAAGACCTTTTTCCTTGTCATTAGCTCTTAAACATCCAACATGATCATCCTGACAACATTAATATTCTATTGTGTATTACTAATAATCTAGGGAGGAGCAAAAGCATATGGGAGGAGGCATGCAGGTTTTGAACACATACTATGCCATTTTATGGAAGGGACTGGGGTACCCTCAGATTTGGGGTTTTGTAGGAGTCCTTGAAGTCAACCCCCACAGAAAGTACAGTTACATGGACCTTCAGAAAACACACCACTTTTTCTAATTAGAATTCCAAGTTGATTGAGGAATCAGAAATGAATCCTCTCCATGGTAATTTGAGGAGAGAAACTGCAGACTTTCTAATTACAAAGATTCCCCCAAATCACAAGACAAATCTAGATTTGTCTTTTATTCAATGTCATATTGTTCCCTTCTAGCTCATAACAATCAACTCTGAACAAAGGGTGAAGAAAACTGACAGTCACAATAAAGAACTTAGCAGCCTGGGTGACAGGCTGCTGCCATGATAACTGATGTTTCAAGATTTCTAAACCAGGAGGGAAAAAAAAACAGCGTACAGAAAGACCTAAGGAAATTGCCCAGCTCTAACCAGCAGAAACAGTTACCTGATCTAATATGGTTTTCTTCTTCTTCGAGTCAGTGACGGAAGACAGCTGCATTTCCCCCATCTTCTTCATCTTCTCGTCCATGTCTATCTTCTGCTCCAGCTTTTTGATTTCTGACTTCAGAAGCCGGAGCGTGTCTTCCTTGTGGTGGTGCCTCGCGACGGCAGCTGCACAGGCAGAATGGATGGCCGTGATCCAGTTCTCCAGCTCTGTTTGGCTGGTGGTCTGCACGGGAGACGGCACAAGGAGAAAAACCACTTCTTAGGAGATTGACAGGAGCCTGCAATGCATGTCCAAGGAAGCGGTGCCCCAGAGGCAACAGGTCAGATCTAGACACCCCCAAGGAGGCTAGCCCCGAAACACCCCTTCTAGAAATCAGTGGAAGGTTAGTCTTGGGCCAGACCCTCCACTCTGTCCAGCCCCTCAAATGACACCCTTAACAAGGCTGCCATGTCTTCTCACCCAATGTATATAAGGACTTTTCTTGTGTAAATGATACTTCTAAAGAACTTACCCAGCTTTAAGCAGCTTTGTCAGAACTAGAGGTGGGGAAGAGGTTTGAGAAGGAACGCATCTGGGTGGTGGCCACCCAGGAATGTGCCATATACAAACAAGAGCTTGTTCAAGAAGAGCATTAAGGGGCTGAAGAGATGGCTTAGTGGTTAGGAGTACTTGCTGCAATTCCAGAGGACCCTAGCTTGGTTCCCAGCACCCATGTTGAGCAGCTCACAACCACCTGGAACTTCAGCTCCAGGGGATCTGACAACCTCTTCTGGCCTTCTCAGGCACCCACACACATATACATTGTGCTGGATAGCTTTGGTGTCAACCAAAGTGAGGAAGCCTCACTTGGGGAATTGCCTCTATTGGACTGGCCTGTGGCCATGTCTGTGGAGCAGTGATGTGGGAGAGCCCAGCCCACTGTGGGTGGTGCCACCCCTGGGCAGGTGGGCCTGTGTGTATAAGAGAGCAGGCTGAGCAGGGGCTAGAGTCAGTAAGCAGCATTCCTCCATGGCCTGTGCTTCAGCTCCTGCCTCCAGGTTCCTGCCCTGATTTCCTACCTTGGGCTCCCTGATGAACTGTAACCTGGGAGATGTAAGCCAAATAAACCCTTTCCTCCCCAAGTTGGTATTGATCAGAGTATTTTGTTACAGCAGTGGAGAAACAAACTAGGACATACCTAGATAAAAATAAATCTTTGAAAATGTTTTTGATTTTTTTAATTTGTTAAAGTTTTTTTAAATTATCTTTACTTTATGTGCATGGGTGTATTGCAAGTATGTATGTATGTATGTATGTAAGTGCACCTGTGTCATGCAATGCCTGTGGAGGGCAGAAGAGGAGGTCAGATACCCTAGAACTGAAGTTATGAACAGTTGTTAGCCGTCATGTGGGTGCTGGGAATCGAATCCAGGTCCTCTGCAAGACAGCTGATGCTCTTAACAGCAGAGCCATCTCTCCAGCCCTGATTTACTTATTTTTATTTTACCAGTATGAGTGTTTTACCTGCATGGTTTTAAGTGCACCTGTGTTATACAATGCCCAGAGGCCAGAAGAGGGTATCAGATCCCCTGAATCTGGAGTTATGGAGTGATTAGCTGCCATGTAGGTGCCAGGAACCAATCCAGGTCTTCTGTAAGAGTGGCCAGTACTCTTAACAGCTAAGCCAACTCTCCAGCCCTCAAAATAAATCTCTTTTTTCTTAATATTTTATTTATTATTTTTATTTTATGTGTATGAGTGTATTGCCTGCGTGTATGTGAGTGCACCCATGTCGTGCAATGCCACAGAGGTCAGAAGAAGGCTTCGGATTCCCCTGGAACTGGAGTTAAGGACAGTTCGTAGCCACCACGTGGGTGCTGGGAATCGAACCTGGGTCCTCTGCAAGAGCAGTCAGTGCTCTTAACCACTGAACCATCTCTCCAGCCCCCCCCCCTTTTCTTTTTAAAGAGCAATACACACCAATTGACAAGTGACCACCAGGTGGGAGTAGTAAAAGACAAAGATGTTCTGAAAGGCAAAACTGGAAAGTTTCAGAGAGAGAGCTCATTGTAATAACTTGCTATTAAAAACTCACTAGGAAATCAATCAGTATTTGTAAATGAGCTTGTTTGTTTGTTTGAGACAGAGTCTCGCTATGTAGCCCGGCTGGCCTTGAACTCAGAGCGATCCGCCTGCCTCTGCCTCCCAAGGGCTGAGAATAAAACCATGCACCACAACATTCAGTTTAGATGCTAGACTCTTGCAGGAGCCCCCATAAGCTCGAAGTCAGCTCAGCTAAAGAAATGATCAGCTCACTCAGTACACCATCATTGTATTGTTGTCACCATTTTTCTTTTGAAGCAGCATTTCTATTTTCTACTTCACTGGAGGGAGGGCTTATAAACAAAATTCTATTAACAGGACCCCATCAGCATATTGCTCCTTGTTGGCTGGGAACTGAAACTTTAGTAGAGGGAACACTACAGCTATCCACATCATTCCCGAATATGAATGGCTTTGTATTCAACCAAATAGCACCTAATATAAAAATGGTGTTTTACAAGAAAAGCACCTCACAGTGGATAACCCTAAAAGATCTGACAGTTTCTGTTTTTATAAAGAATAATATACTGCCAGTGGGTAATCATGGCCATCATCTAGATAGTGTCATAAAGTAAGAGAAATTGCAACTGACAAGCAAATGGGATCCCTCTGTGTGGACTGAGTGGGAGGAGAGGAGATAACCACATTAAAGCGACAGGTAAACATGTAGGTTGTAAAAACCCGGGGGTGGGCGGAGACATGGGACAGGGCTGCATATGTACATATGAAACTCATCTTTCACTCCTAAATCTCCTTCAAAGTTTTAATACTTTGAAGTTTTAATCTTTTTGAAAGTCCTTATACCTTTTTTCTTAAAAATAGAGCTTATGATCCTCCCACAAATACTGAAACCACCAAGCTTGCTTCTTCCAGGATAATACAATATTTGATATTTGGATCTCTCCGGGGAAAGTATGTTGGTAGGCTGGGTTATTTTTCTTCATTTTTCATTTGTTTGTCTGCTTTGGTTTTTAGAGACACGGTCCTGTTAGGTAGCTTAGGAGGCCTGGGACTCTTGCTCTTCCATCTTCTGCCTCCTGAGTGATGAGATTATAGGCATATGCTACCAAGCCTGGTTACATTTTTATTTTAGTTAGGAAATGCATTAACTCCAGTGGAAAAGTAATCTAATAAGGATTATTTTCTGAAAAAGAAAAAAATCAATATGTTCCAGTGTTGGCAAAGATTTGGAGCAAGCAGAACCTTATGCACTGCTCATCTGGCAGCATGGTGAAAGGGGCAAGTATTTTGAAAGCAGTCAGATATCAGCATGTCTTGTGTCCCATTAAATATATTCAGGGTATAGACCCAATCAAAGCACTATCTGTATAGTCAGCGTAATCAAGGTACTAGAACACATACAGTCACAAAACTAGAAACTCTTTACTGCCCACCAACAAGAGAAGAGATGAATACACAGCACAATCATGTGATGAAATGCCGCAGGCCAGTAAGAAGGTCTATAACCACCTACTCCAATAAAGACGAATCTCCACATAGAAAATTTAGAAGAGCCGGGCATGCAGGAGCATGTACTGTATGTTTCTATTTACACAAAGTTCAAAACCAGTCACAAAGTAATGCATACTATTAAAGGATAGGAAAGCAAGACTTTATTGCTTTTGTCATTGCTGATTTTTTTTTTTTTTTTTTTTTTTTTTTTTTTTTTTTTAACACAAGGACTTGCTACGTAACTCAGGTTGGCAAGGATCCTCTTAGGTCATCTGACCGAATGCTGAGATCACAGGCATGAGAACCATGTCCTGCTAAGAGAGAACAATTCTTTAGTGGGAGCAGGGAAGAGCAGCACAGGGAGTTTTCTATTTTTTTACCTGCTGCTGGTTAGGTTAAGTGTATGACATGGTTGTGGTCACTTTGCCAAGGCCCACCAACAGGTACACTTTTCTGTATGTATGTTAGACTTCACTACAAAGTTTACCCAAAGAATTCTCATGTGATAGTTTGAATAAAAATGTTCCCATAGGCTTCAAGTATTTGGATGTGTTTGTTCCCAGTTGGTGGCTGTTTTGGGAGGTCTTAGAAGGTGTGCCCTTGCTAGAGGAAGCACGTCCCTGGGAACAGGCTTAGAGAGTTCTTAAGCCTTGCTGGATTTCCAGTCGCTCTCTGCCCTCTGTACCCACTTGAAGATGTGAGCCTCTGCTTTCTTCTCCTGCTCTGGCTACCTCCTACCACCATGCCTCTCCATCATGACCCTAATTCTCCTGGAACCAAAAACTCAAATAAACTCTTCCTTTTATAAGTTTCCTTGGTCACAGTGTTTTATCACAGCAACAGAAAAGTAACTAATACACCTTCCATAATATATGACCATTATATTCAAGTATAATTTTCACCTAGCTATTGTAAAATATTATACATTGCATTCTACTTTTCATTAAAAATGATTCCTATAAGACTATACAGGAAACTCTAAAAGCCTCCTCATGTCATTTCAGCACTTGAAATAAGCTCAGTCCTCGATGCCAAATGCACTTTGTGCTCTGTATGCTGAGCTCAGTTTGAGACTGGGAGAGAGCTGGAGTTTCACCCAATGGACAGTGTAGGCCGTCCAGACATCACTTTGCAGAGCCAGCCTGGGCCACTAAGAAGCACTCAAGTTTCATACACAAACAACTGGCTCTTTAGTCCCAGCACAGAAGAAGGATTGATCTGTGTCCATTTCTCTAAGATAAGCCCCTCCCAACTCTACCCATCTGGACTTCCCACTCCCCATTCCCATCCCTCAACTTATAGAGGACAGAAAGGAATTAACCACAACTCTCACATCATATCTGAGTAATGAACAGAAAGATCTCAACTCCTGACAAGCTCCACTAAATGCAACATATGAACTTAAATTTATATGTGTGCATGTGTGTGTGTGTGTGTGTGTGTGTGTGTGTGTGTGTGTGCATGCACAGAAATGAAAGAATTACTCATGAAAGCTGTTTCTCTGCCTCCACCATGTGCGTCCCAAGGATGGAACTCGGGGCATCAGGTATGGCATCAGGTGCCTTTACCTGCTGAGCTAGCTCACTGGGTCTTCATGGCTCACTGACCCTGAATTTGTTCGTAGAAAAATTCACCTAGGAAAGGCCCAGGTGATCAATTAATAGATGAAGAAATGAAAAACCTTGAAG